ATCTAATTTCATGTGCCTACAGACATGCTGACACGATTTACTTTGTATTTGTGCTTTTGTGTTTTCAGCTGCTAAATTTACTGGATGTTATCATTGATAGTGCTGGAAACAGGTCTAGTTCATCTGACAAATCCCTGATTTCTACTTCTAAGCCATCATCAGTTCAACAAATTTCTGCTGTGGAGGCAGATGTGAATACAGATTCTGGTATTTTGTCTTCTGGAGCTGATGCATCTACTAAAGCTGATGATTCCTCCAAACCCACATCCTCTGGAAACAATATGGAATGCGAGTCTCAGAGAGTATTGAGTAATCTGCCACAAGCAGAACTCCGGCTCTTGAGCTCATTGCTTGCACAAGAAGGGTATGATTATGCGCTTATGCTTGTTGATTTGTGTTGATTCTGCTGTCTGTTTTTCAGCCAATATGCCTTGCTTTTGTATATCTATTTACCATCACCAGGAGTTCCTGGTTTTGGGGTGGGATGGGGTGGAGGTGACAAAACTCCTGACTTAGGAGATCCAACTAATTTTAAATTCTGTTTTGTTGGTTTTGTTATGTGCATTTACTTGCTTTTGTTTGCACAGCTGATATCAATCACCACCAGACCATATTAGTCTGGCTATTATTGTTGTAATAACAATGTTGTATGTTTTCGTGATGATGGAGTTGATCTGATATTTTTGCTTTCCTCCCAGTTTGTCAGATAATGCATATGCTCTTGTTGCCGAGGTAATGAAGAAATTGGTGGCCATTGCTCCAACTCATTGTCAGCTTTTTGTCACTGAGCTGGCTGCAGCAGTTCAAAACTTGACTTCATCTGCAATGGGTGAATTACGTGTCTTCAGTGAAGCAATGAAAGCTCTTCTCAGTACTACATCTAATGATGGAGCTGCAATTCTGAGAGTTTTGCAAGCCTTGAGTTCCCTTGTCACCTCGCTGACACAGAGAGAGAGTGATAGAGTTACCCCTGCTGCTCTTTCTGAGGTTTGGGAAATCAATTCAGCATTAGAGCCCTTGTGGCATGAGCTGAGCTGTTGCATAAGCAAGATAGAGTCCTACTCAGAGTCTGCGTCTGAGTTTTTTACCCCTTCTAGAACATCTGTGTCTAAACCATCTGGTGTCATGCCTCCACTTCCAGCAGGCTCTCAAAATATCTTACCATATATTGAATCTTTCTTTGTGGTTTGTGAGAAGTTGCATCCTGCACAGCCAGGTGCTAGTCATGACTCAAATATTCCTGTTATTCCCGATGTTGAGTATGCCGGTACATCTGCAACTCAGCAGAAAGCATCTGGACCTGCTGTGAAAGTAGATGAGAAACATGTGGCTTTTGTAAGGTTCTCGGAGAAGCATAGGAAGCTACTAAATGCTTTTATAAGGCAAAATCCTGGTTTGCTCGAGAAATCTTTCTCTCTCATGCTGAAGGTTCCAAGATTTATTGATTTTGACAACAAGCGTGCCCACTTCCGATCAAAAATTAAGCATCAGCATGATCATCACCACAGCCCCTTAAGAATATCAGTAAGAAGGGCGTATGTTCTAGAAGATTCTTATAACCAGCTTCGCATGAGATCAACTCAAGATTTGAAGGGAAGGTTGACTGTTCACTTCCAAGGGGAGGAAGGTATTGATGCAGGTGGGCTTACAAGGGAATGGTATCAATTGCTGTCCAGAGTTATTTTTGACAAAGGAGCGCTGCTTTTTACTACAGTGGGCAATGAATCAACATTTCAACCAAACCCTAACTCTGTTTATCAAACAGAACATTTATCTTATTTCAAATTTGTTGGTAGAGTGGTGAGTCCTTTTGCAACTAGTCAACTACTGCTCTCAATGCTTGCTGTTGGTCATATATGATTTTTTTATTTACCCCTTTCCACCTTATCCAGGTTGGGAAAGCATTATTTGATGGTCAACTCTTGGATGTCCATTTTACTCGGTCATTCTACAAGCACATACTTGGGGTCAAAGTTACATATCATGATATTGAAGCCATTGATCCTGACTATTTCAAAAATTTGAAATGGATGCTTGAGGCAAGTGCATTTATGTAGTTCCTCCCCCTCTCCCTTTCCGTATTCTCACCACATTTTGTTCATTGTTAATTTGTGACAATTGTCTCATGTTTTGCTATGATTGCAGAATGATATCAGTGATGTTCTGGATCTTACTTTTAGCATTGATGCAGATGAGGAAAAATTGATCTTATATGAACGAACAGAAGTATTGACTGTGTTCTTAATCTTTTTTAGATGATGTATTGGTTTATGCATTGTTATAGTCTAATCTTGGTGAGCATATCTAGGTGACTGATTATGAGTTGATTCCGGGTGGACGGAATATTAAAGTTACAGAGGAGAACAAGCATCAATATGTTGATTTGGTCGTTGAGCATCGGTTGACAACTGCTATTCGACCTCAAATAACCGCTTTTCTGGAAGGGTTCAATGAATTGATTCCCAGGGAGTTGATATCCATATTCAATGACAAAGAGCTGGAATTATTGATCAGTGGACTTCCTGATATTGATTGTGAGACTTCCATTGTTTTACATTACTTTGATTGATGTGATTAATGTTTATTTGCTCTCCCCGCCTGCTATATTTACAAGAGTTAAACTGCATGGAACGACAAATTTGATAGTTCTGCATTTTATTTCAGTGGATGACTTAAGAGCAAATACAGAATATTCTGGATATAGTACTGCATCGCCAGTTATCCAATGGTTTTGGGAGGTTATTCAAGGGTTCAGCAAAGAAGACAAGGCTAGGCTATTGCAGTTTGTGACAGGCACATCCAAGGTATATTGCTATCAGATCTTAAATTTCATTAGAACTCAAATTTTATGGCTGTTTTCGAAGGTGTTTGAACACATAAGATGAATTTCATACATAATATGCTAGCTACTGTCAATTATATCCAATTCATGTGTTCAATTTATTTCCAATGCATTTTATTCAAGAATCTCACGCATGTGGTAACTGGTAATTTGAGTGCTCTGAGGTGTCTAATTTGTTGAATAGGCTGAGGATGGAGATGACTCAGTTTTGTTCCCGAAAACATTCAATGATCGTAGCTTTGCCTGTTTCCTTTGATATTCTGAATCCTATTTATATCAGTGAATGGTGCTGACACCTTATTTTGTAGACTTGAAGCCGTTAAAACATTTTTAGTGCAATTTGGAGGTCTGATTTTAGCTACTGATGTTTCAGGTGCCTTTGGAAGGTTTTAGTGCTCTTCAAGGAATTTCAGGCTCCCAGAAGTTTCAGATACACAAAGCATACGGAAGTCCTGATCACTTGCCTTCTGCTCATACTTGGTAAATATGTTTCCCCTTTTCAATCACTTTGCGTATTTGCTTTCTGTTTTGATTATCTGAAGTTATATAGGCTAAATTTATCACTTGATGGATCATTATTATCATGTGATTTGAACTAATTAACACGGATTCTTCTTCATGCAGTTTCAATCAATTAGATTTGCCGGAGTATCCATCTAAACAGCATTTGGAAGAGAGGTTACTGCTGGCAATTCACGAAGCAAATGAGGGATTTGGATTTGGTTGAAAAGTTTCCGAGGGTGGAGGGGGCCAAATGCCATGTGTTACATTTTAGGTTAGGAGCTACTTTAAAATAGAATTGAATGGTACAGAGTTGAATTTTTCAGTTTATATCATGTTAATATGTTGTACAGTCGTATATTTGCAATGGGAAATGCCTTTGGCAGTTTTTCAATGAACCGATTTGCCATGATTTCTTGTTTATTTCTGTAACTCTAATTAGTGGTGTTGTGAAATCAGCTGGCAGCGTCCATGCAAAGATTACTTAGACGTAATAAGGAAGAAACTACGTACCTGGTAGTTTTTGTGGGAAGAATCGGTTTTTTAGTTTCACAATTTTGGTTTGGAGGTATAATTTATGAAGTTTGATGGTGCAATGGGTAATGCTCTAGAATGAGTAAAAATGAGTGAAGTTTATAATTTATTTGTTAGTAAAAATTGTATTAAAAATTTAAGTTGTCAATTTTCGATGTCGTTTTTGCTCTTACCAAACTGACCGTAGAGAAGTTTTTAGTCACCATATCGAAAAAAATGAGAATAAATTCTTGATTATAGTGCAAATAGTTTGATATAATCAAATTTTTAATTGATCCAAATCATGTTGGTATTGGAGTTTCGATCTTACTACGGAAATAAATTAAAAAAACCTAGAAAAGTAAGCGTTGATCTTGACTTTTGGGCATTTGAGTTTCAAAAAAATTATTTCTTTATCAACTTGTACAAAAAAACAAATCTCGGTGACTAGTGAGGTTTTGAATGAAATAAGTTTAACAATTAAATATCTTGTTTTAAAACCAACAAAAAAAACTATATATATATATATATAATTATTATTTTGCTTTATTCAGTCAATATGAATTTATGGATTATTTTGCATATACCTGCATAATTGTATCCTTCACTGTATGACGTCGATTATTCTTAATTCATAATTGGTTTATCCTTGAACAAAGGGACACCTCGGTTTGAAGATGCTCTTCAAGCTGATGATCCATCCAATAGAAAGTTTACAAAGTTCAAGGACACTCTGCAACTAACAGGAGTATCTGCTTTTTGCCTGCTTTTGCTTACGCATTAAGATATGAACGCACATCATAAGCAAAGTTGGAAAGTGCTTCTGTATATTTATTTATCCTCGCGCAACCACACAGCTAAGATCACAATTACTGATAAATGAATAGCGTAGGCTGTAGCCAATCAGAAGGAAAACATGCAGCCAGTTTTAGTTGGGAAACTACTGTTTTAACAGCATAAACATGCACCTATGCACAACAAAAATGTGCAGTGACGTGAAGAAGATCAGTCATGTGTTCTTTTCTTAGTCTTTTTTGGGGATAAATGCGAATGAAACAAAACTAGACGCTCTATATTGTCGACAATTTAGTCAAACAGAAAGCAATTAAATTTGTTTGCTAATTCAACCAATAACCAAGGTCATCTCCATCAATAGCAAGTACAGCTAAGGAAACAAAATTGTGGGAAGGAACGAGTGAGGAAGAGAAGACCAACTGAAATTCTAGATATCAAGACATAACATTTTATCTATAATTACAAACTAAGACATCTATTAGAATGGAGAGCCAACTGAGCCTAACTCAACCCCAAAAGCTAAGCAGCTAGCTCAAGGTTGGAGAATTGCCCGAGTCATTATAAGAGATATCATGGGCATATATCCAACTAATGTGGGATCCCAAGAATATCATTAAGCAATAAAAGTGTAGGTTTGTGATATCCAATGTAAATAGCGTCAATTGTTGGTTAAAAGCAAAAAGCAGCAACTATTTACATCCATCTTGAATTGTGTTGTGTCTCCAAAAGAGTCAGTCAACTGACCCCCAAATGGAAGCTATAGCATACATTTCCACCTAGGGTTTTCTGATTTTGTTTCTTATCTTTTCTTACCTCTTCACCAACCACATTCAGATGGCAACCTGAAACTCACCTGAAGACTCATATTACCGTCTAAGATATTTCTTCCCTTTGGCATCGTCTTTAATGATATTCCAAAGGCTATGTGGAAAATCAACTGGCCACAAAACCACATCATTTTCCCAAAGAACCATCTTTGCAAGATGATCTGCTGCTCTATTAGTTTCACGCCATGAGTGAGAAATCTGATATTTATCAAACTTACTTAAGAGTTTCCAGATTTGTTTCAAACAGCTATCAGCTTTTGGACAACAAGGTTGTTTTTTATTTATCGTCTTCACAACACTCATGGAATCTGACTCCACCCATATTGCTTTTATCCCAAGACCCAAGGAAAGAACCAGGCCTCTCCATATGGCCCACAGCTCAACCAGGAAAACATCTCCTTGAGGAACTTTAGAGACAAAAGCACATATTGGTTCACCCATACAATCACGAAGCAGCCCACCAAAACCAGCAGCTTCTCTATGTATAGAACCATCAGTATTTAATTTTGTCCATCCAAACTCAGGCTTTGTCCATTCACACAATCTTATGGAACTGGAAACTGGACTCAGGATGTTTGCAATTTGGTTGAGACTCCTTAGAAGAACCATTCCTTTGATTCTTTTCTGTGCAGAGGATAACTCAACTCTAAGTTCATTTTCCTTAGCCTTGTGTTTCTTCCCTATAAGATGTGTCCCTAAGCAATTTTCACTGGTAGTACTAATCTGACATAAAGCACAGCTCCATTCCTTCTGGACTTGCTTTTTACTAGTTAGCCTTGTATAACTGCTTTCTGTCTTGTCACAAACAACAGGATCTCTCCCCTGATGCAAACAATTTTTTAGAAAGAAGTATATGTATCTATTAGGACGATGGCAAAATAGAATTAGATTAAAAGAAACTTTGACTTGGAATGAGTAGGAGAAGCCACCACCTTGTAGGTGGGGGTTACCATATTACATATAAACAAATTTGCAATACAATTGCAAGTGAAAGTTCACCATGAATTACTCACTTTGAAACATTTAGCATGGCAAATGTATATTTTGAGCTAACCGACAAATTGAGAAATCAACAGCAGCACACAAATAAGCTAAAACCTTAACATCATCAAATACATTATTAGTATTTTGATGTAATGATGCATGTAAAAATAGGACAAAAACTTAAAACTAATACCTGATATCCTTCGAACTTCTCTTGTATTTGACTTGTAATAATTGTATGGTCAGAGACATCAACAAGTTTGCTATCCTCATACAGTTCAAAATGTGTGCTCTTCTGATTGAAGATGTTCAACGGCTTTGTACATATGTTCCAAGTACAATAGTGCTTAATTAATAATTTATAGATGCATGACGCACCACCAAAATAAGGTATCAACAGCAAGATAGTTGCTATCGCTTTTACATGAGGCCACCATGGGAGCCTGTAATAATAACCAAGTAAAAAATGAGGAGACATGGTAGGAGAAAACTAAAAGATATAGAAAATTCAAACATAAGCACAAGTGATGATTGGTTCCAAGCAGTAGACAATGATGATAATCAGAGAGGTCAAACTATATGAACTATAAGTTTAGTAGACGAATTTTTCTTTTTCTTTCATAACCTTGCCACCATTAAGCCAAAATAGTTTCTACCAATACACATATGCTCGCTCAGACTCTTAACTTTATTCCTATAATTAATTTTGCAGGTATAGATCATAAAATGCTCAAAAGCAACAATAAAGTAAACTAACATGCATGCGAACGTCGTGTGATGCTAAATTATACGACGTCAGAACCATCTCAATTGGAGAGCGGAGTCAAGGTTCCAGTGATCAGTTGGAAAACATTTCTGTTGGAAGACCCAGAACATCTCCAACAAGAAAAGAAAAGAAGAAAATATAATTTAGATGTTAAAACAATTACCAATCCTATAGTATCATACCAGAATGGCATTATTTCAGTGAACAATACTATAGTAAAGCTCACATCGATCAAGAAGCTACCTATGACTTGAATTATGAGTTTGACGATTAACATACCAAATTTCATAGTTATAGCTGGAATTAAAATGATCACAGCATTGTACCCAAAAAAAAAATAAGATCACAGCATCATTAACAATAATCAGTCCGGTCAGTTGGTATGCATCAACTTTCCCATTTTGTTATACAAAACTCAAGGAGTAAAAACCCTTTTCGTAATTTGTTTCTTCAAAGATACAAGTGCCATCAGTTTGGTCCAGCAATAATAAATACATCAAATTTGACATCAAATTGGTGATATTAAAAAGAGGCATGTGATATCAAAAAGTGATATAAAGGACCATTTTGTTGTATTTATAATTAGAAGATTAAAGTAAACTAATGAAACTTGTATCTTTGAGTCCAAAAATGAAATGAGTGTCAACTCAAACTCAAATTACCAGTTAAATTCTCAAAAAAAATAAAAAATTACCAGTTAAATACCACTGCAAGTTCCCGCTCCATGATCATAGACAAGGAAAACAGAACCCAAAAAGCAAGGCATCGCTGATTGCTGGAGCGGGAATCACTCTCCATTGCCCGAATAGAAGCGTACCTACAGGAAAGCACAGTAAATTTTAGAGATCCAATTCTGAATCTCTTGTATTTTTTTAAAAAAAATAAAATAAAAAGTAAAATAAAAACTATTTTTTTTTTCTCGAAATGAAGAAATAAGAGGACCAGTACTAACTAGCTACTTACAAGGGAAAAATCAAACTAAATGGAGGCCTGCATGTACAAAAAAAAATAAAAAAAATTGCAGACATTAACGTTAGATCATAAGACTCCTATAAAAATGCCACAAGCTTAATCAGTAATTTTACTGTATGACTAAGTTTTCAAATAAATGACAGTGAAAAAATATATTTAAAAAGCACGAACAGAAGAATCGGTGTACCAGGCAAGGACGTTGAGTGATTTCGTCAATATTGTAAGGAGAGGTTTCCAACCCATTTCTTCAATCTTAGCTCTTATTGTTTTCTTTCAGTCCAAAGTCCAAAGAGGTTTATGAGAAAGAAAATAAACACAGATACATGTTGTGAGGGAGCAAAACTATGATAGGATATAAATCGATAGAATAAAAGGGCGAAGACCATAAGTCAATGGAATCTTTCACAAATAAGCCAATTAGAAAATGGAAGAGAAAAGACATTAAAAAAAAGAAAAAAATATGTGTCATAGGTGAAAAAAAGAGATAGATAAATGAGGAGAGAGTGGATAAAAAAAATGAAAGTGTGGATTCTATTCCTTCTGAGAGTAAAATGATATAAGTTGTGTTATTTAAAAGGATAAACACTTTTTTCTTAAAAAATTTATGCAAATCTTGTAATTCGAAACTTATAGGTGAAAATTGCATGTAATTTTTTTTAATGTAATTACAGAAATTTAGGTCAGAAACGAATCCAAACTATAGGATGGGATATAAATGGATAGAATAAAGACAGCATAAAAATAGGAAAGATATGAGTATCATAAGTTTTTATTTTATCGTGTATTAGACAAGTAATCTGATAGAATAATATTATCTTATTCGAGGATAGTCATGATAGAATATAAATTCATAAAAATATATTTTTAAAAATTGATTTTTAAGCTATTTTTTCACTTATTTATACAATAGTTCTTAATTTAAAATATTTAAAAGTCATAATTTTTAAATAAAAGTATATTAAATACTTAAATGACTTACGAAAATATTTTAAAATAAAAAACTACATCCTCACTAAATAAAATTTTAAAAATTGTTTTAAGTGGCCAATGACTAGTAATAGTGGCTGGTGCAATGAGTGATGCTGTGATAGGTGAGGTGGCTAGTTGAAGTGGTGGCGGTGGTTGTGGGGGCTGTGGCCATGGGTGGTGGTGACCATATGGCAATGACCAGTGATAATTGTGATGGTTGATTAATGACAACGACAATAGTGACTAATGGTGGTGACGTGGTGCCTAGTGATTGTGGATGGTGGTGACCCAAGGTAGTGGTTGGTTGCACTAACAGTGGCCAATGGTGACAACAAAGATAGTGGTGGTTGGCTGGTGGGTTGTAGGTAGGGGTGACTAGTGGTGACCGCCGGCAATTATGGTGGCAAAGTGATAGTAGTGGTGGCGGTGACAATTATAGTTGGTGCTTGGTGGCATGAAATGGTTGCGGTGGTGGCCAATGGTGGTGGTAGGGCGCGAGTGGTGATTGATGGCAATTATGGTGGCTGATTGATTACAATGGCGGTGGCTAATGGTGGTGGTTATGGTTGGTGCTTGGTAGCTAGGGGTGACGATGGCCAATGATGGTGACAATTGGTGTAGTGGTGGCGAGTTGCAATGCTGGCGGTGACTGGTGGCAATTGTGAGGCTAATCGATGGTAGTGGTTAGTGTTTGGTATAGTGGTAACTAGTGACAATGGTGGTGACTAGTAGGTTGTGGTGAAAATGACAATGACAATAGTTGGGTGATGGATAATAGTGGCAGTAATAGGTGTTAGAGGTGCTCAATACCCAGCGGTGATGATAATGACAGTGGCTAGTCAATGGCAAGGGTGGACCCTCACATGCACAACAAAGTTTGTTATATAAGAATATTAGGCTATATTTGGAATAAAATGGATGTGACATTTGCTATCATATCATGTCCATAAATTGAGCCAACAAGATAAATTTATCATATCCTGTAATTCACCAAACAATGGATAAGAATAAATATGATAGCCTATCTTATCCAATCCTCACTGTATTGACCACCAAACTGTACCATAAAATAAGGAAAAATAAAATAAAATATAAAAAAGGAAATTATTCTTAATTTTTTTTTTTTATACATCCTAATTCCTAACAAGGATTCATCACTACCACGCTAACTATTTTTAAATCAACATGACATTAATGCTTATTGTTTACAAGTATCGGATGGTGTGGATTAAATTAAGTAACGTTAACGATTACTAATTAGAATATAAATTAAATGATGGTACCCTAAAAGCATAATTTAATAATAGATGTTACTGTTATCAAAAAAATAAAAAAAATAATAGATGTTACTATGTAATCAAAGATATCATGTTAAATATTTAGTTTATGTGTCAAATGAGCAAAAATCAAATTGTCTAGTTTTAACTCCTTTCTTAAAAGATGTAACTAAATCTAACCTAAATTAGATTATGAGCATGTACTAATAACATTAGTTACAACTTATATATATATATATGGTATAAGTTATTCTACCTACTCTCATTTTGCCTACCTTTGCATATCCATTTCATCACCGTTCGATTACAATCTAATCTAACGGTCCATAATTGCGAAATAAAATAAACTCTTTTTTTCCTTTCTCTTTCCTCACTTCCTCCCACACCTTTTCTCTTTCCTCCCTTTTCTCTCTTCCTCTGCGATCCGGCCACATCCTTTCGATCTCTCTATACCTATTTTATTTTTATTTTTTTGAACTACAAGCGAACACGATTCACAGTGAATATCTATACCTATTATCGAACTTTTTGTTGTTGTCCTTGTTGCATTCATCGTGGAATGGAGGTAGTGGCAGTTCTTTCCGATCAGAAGAAACATGGAAAAAGGGTATTAAGCAATTTTATGAGGAAAAAGTACTGCATTTTTTTTTGTTTGACTTGTTGCAATTGATTCATAGAATTGTTTCATTACAAATAAAGCAATCCATCTCTTATTATTATTTGCAGATGTAAATAGGTAGATCGATAAAGACAAGGTGAAAACTTTTTACCATGCATTGTAAGCAGTAAGACATCAATGGTAGGGTCTGAATTGAAAGCTTTGACAATATCAAAACGCAAGTTTTTACAGTATTATTGAATTATATATTAATAGGGAAGGGTACAATTAAGGTTAAGCGTATGCAGTGACTGAAATTTTCAAGTTTAGATCTGTTTGGTTATCAAGGGTACAATCTGAAACTTATATATTATTCGTGTTCGCTTGTAGTTCAAAAATAAATAAATTAAAATAGGTATATAGAGATCAGAAGGATGTGGCCGGATCGCAGAGGAAGAGAGAAAGGGGAGGAAAAAGAAAAGGTGTGGGAGGGAGCGAGGAGAGAGAAAGGGAAAAAAAGAGTTTATTTTATTTCGTAATTATGGACCGTTGGATTAGATTGTAATCGAACGGTGATGAAAAAGGTAAGCAAAATGAGAGTAGGTAGAATAACATATCCTTATATATATATATATATATATATATATATATATATATATATATATATATATATATATATATATATGTATATGGGGAGTATTTATGTCAAGTAACAGGACATTAAACTTTTTTCCTACCCAAACAGATTTTAGTGAGTCCTACCATAAAAGAAAAATAAAAAACAAAAAAGATGTCTGCACACTTCTCGGTGAGTCAGTAGGAAATTTGTTAGCCATCCTGTTACTTGACATATACATTTCCATATATATATATATATATATATATATATATATATATATATATATATATAAGGCAGGATCTTTTGACACAGGTGTCAAATTTGAAGTTTGACACCTCATCTGAGAGCCGTTGGATAAAAAAAAATCAATGGTATCACACGCTTACAAATCAGAGTCGTTAATCTTTTTTGATCTAACGGCTCTCAGATGAGGTGTCAAACTTCAAATTTGACACCGGTGTCAAAAGATCCTACCTCTATATATATATATATATATGTGTATATGGGTTTTATAAGAGTTATGTTGTAGGAAAAGTGATTGTGTAATGTTATAGAGATTCGTTTTGCGTGCCGTAGTTTTTTTTTTTTTCAAAAAGTGTGGGTCCCACAAAATGTTGTGTGTGTAAGAAATTTTTTTGTGTCATCTTAAATATAAATGCTAACCCCTATATATATAAAGTTTATTGTTTGTCATGTCACATGACATAAAGTTATATCATGTCATTCCAAAACTATGTCATTTTGGAAGTTAGGATAATTTGTGAAGGGAGTTTTGGTTAATAAATAAACAAACAAAAATATCAAAACATCCTTTATTAATTCCTTTAATTTGCAAAATGACGTAATTTTTGGGTGACATGAATGTTTGTCATGTTACATGACATAAAGTTATGTTATGTCACCTCAAAACTACGTTTAGGAGTTAGAAGAATTCATGAAGGGTGTTTTGATAAAATTCATATAATAAATAAACAAACAAAAATACCAAAACACTCTTCGTTAATTCCTCTAACTTGCAAAAAGACGTAATTTTGGGATGACAGGACATAACTTTATGGCATGTGACATGAAAAACAATAGAATAGGGAAAAATATTTAATGTTACTTTACACAATTTTGTCTAATATTAACTGAAACGACGTCGTTTCGGTGAACATTTAACAAAGTTGTCTAAAGTAACTTTAGAAAAAATGAACTCATATATATATGTATATATAGGAGTGTAAATGGGCTAGGCTGGCTTACAGGGGCCTACGGGCTACGGCGTAATCTATATTAGGTCAAGTTTGACCTATTATAAATAGTAAAGTAGAACAGGCCTAAGCTTTTAAATAAACCTATTTAGAAAATAGGCCATAGGCTTTTCTATACATGTCGGGCCTATAAGCCTACAGGTCGGCCTATATCATATTTTTAATTTTAAATAAAATTATTATTTTAATAATTTTGAATAATAAAATAATATTATTTTAGTTATTTTTTTAATTGTTCGATGTTTAATAGGTTTAAATAGGCAAACAAACCTAGGCCAAGAATTTTATTTTTAAATATAGGTCTGACCAAACTTGTAATTTGGGGCCTACACAGGCTAGGCCAGATGCTATGTTTTTTTTTTTTCCGGTTTGCTAGATGCTATGTTTTTTACATAGGCTTGGCCTATTTAAGCCAAATCCTAACCTAGTCTATTTACACCCCTATATATACAGGGACAGACCTATATGGGGGCTAGTGGTGGCCCCCGCCCCTGCTAAAAAATTATATATTTAAAATTTCTGCATATAGAAAAACCAATTCAAGGGCAGGTCGCAACATCAGACTAGAAAGGTACACATAATATATAAACAATGTTTGGTTAAGTGTATA